ATATATATATATATATATATATATATATATATATATATATATATATACACACACACACACACACACACACATACCTAATCTAAGTGCATCTTCCAAACTTCATGTTGATAACAAGAAAGATACATGGCAAAAACTTCACTTTTTGTTGTTGTTGGGTTTTTGTTTGTCTTCAAACTGAAATCTGTTTTAAAATTATTTTATATTCATTAACCAGCAAGCTCCTGGTAATGAAACAATTTTATGTAAATGTCATAGATAGATAAATAGACAAATAGATAGATAGACAGATAGATGTACATATGCAAAACTAGAACTATCAAGCAATTACAAATTAAGAGTTGGTTGCATATGCATAGCTAATTATAATCATTTGTTTACTTTATAAATGTCAAATCTAGACTCAAACAATAAACTAAAATTTCAAATTTTACTGGGAGTATTTATTCAAAATAGTCCCAGTGGGTATTAAATATTAGTAACTCCTCAGTTTTCCTAATTACTTTATAATAATCAATTTTTAAATGTAAAGCTCATTTATTAATAGCTGACTATATTATTATCAAGCCTAAAATGAAATAAATTATTACTTTGCATCAAGTGTAATCATCTCTGTAGACTGATTTGAAACTGATGATAACAGTGATCATTGCATTCAAAATGTAACATTTCCTGGAATGATGTTACTTAAAATAGTGATAACCTACATTAGGCACTAATAGAGAACACTGTCATTTGAAAGTTCCATGAGAATTCTTTGGGTTGCAGGTAAAGTTTATTTAAATATTTCCTCCAAATAAATTAATTATCAGAGCAAATAATCTAAGTAGCAGTTAGGTAAAATTAATTGCAAGGTCATAGTCTCCTTCCAGATTGTATCTCTGTTCCCTGCCAACTTGTATCAGTCTTAAACTGAATATTCAGTAGTATTAAAAACATCCTCAGTCCTATGTTTCCCAAAATTTACATGAAGCGCTAAAACAGAAAGAGAAGGAGAAAATTTAAAACAAATTAAAATCATATTTTTATTCTCAGTACTCAAAGCAAAGTCATTAGCATTAAAAATTATTTTTTTAATTTGCCTTCGTGTCCTATTAAAGATTCAACCTAGGCTTTTGCGCATGCTGAGCAAATGCTTAACCACTGGATTATACACAAGACCCTATAGGCTATTTTATTTTCAACTCCCAGAATGAAGGAATTCTCCTCCTAACACAAATGAACATCTAGGCAAAATGTATGAAATAATTATTTGTAGAAATATTGTTAGGGGCTGTGTATGCTTCTGGTTCACAAGAAAAGACAAATGTGGCGAGTTAAGGTCAGCAACTATCCTGGCTACCTGCTTTGTTCCAACTTTTGGAACATAGTACAGGGGAATGTGCCATGACACAGGAGAATCTAACAGCCATAACGAGGTAGGAGGACAGAGCTGAATTGGAGCCGTGGAAAGGACAGAATTTAGGGGGCACACACTGTAAAAGGGCACCCTAGAGAAAAACAGCCCCAGAAACCGGTGCATGGATTCCCTGACAACTTTTATTAAATACTAAGCCTTAAGCATTCAGAGTAAACTTTTCCAAGACTTGCTGAGATAAAACACCATGACCAAGACAAATGGCATATCGTTCCAGAGGAAAAAGAGGCCATCATGGTGTGGAAGCATGACAGCAAACAGCAGCCACGGCAGTGAGAACTGTACTCTGAGATCTCCTGTTTTGAGGAATCAGAGAGAATAGAGTCAGGGAGTAGAGCAAAACCTTAATCTCTCAAAGGTTTGCCCCCATTGCACTACATTCTTCAGTAAAACCGCACCTCCTACACATTGCCAAATAGCACCATTAACTGAGGACCAGGTATTAAAATGCTCATCCACGTGGGAGACATACGTCATCCAAACCATGTGGTGAATGAGTACTACAGGCTCTGAAACAGCTGGGGGTTTTCTGAGCATCAAGCTCAACAACGTGCAGAACCCAAACAAGCTTGTTAAACATTATGTTACAACTATGAAAAGGCTTCTTCCGTTTCAAGAAGTACAGGCAGGTCTGTGGAGATTCTAGAAAAGCCACGAATTAAGAGATGATGTCATGAGTTCAAAGAAAATGGAAAGATGAAAATATTGCGTTGGTTGAAGGATGGTGTCATTTTTTTTTTTTATTTGTGTGTTTACTAAGTTTATCTCCTTGAAATTAAATCTGTATCTAGCTTAGGCTGACTTTGGACTCATGATTTTCCTCCATCAGACGCTATCTCTATAATTTTAAAGGCTAGAAATAATTCTCATAATAATGCTCATATTATCACTGTGTTTGTAAAAGAAAAAAAAGACACAAACTCACACAAAAAAAAGTCCATTATCAGAGGAAAAAAGGTAATTTGTTATGTATTGTATATAAACATAAAGATGAAAAGGAATGGACTTGTCCAGCACAGCAGTGCACAATGTATTTTCTGTGAGCTGATATGCCTGGAGAGTTCCAGCCAGAGCTACATAGTGAAACTGTTAATCCCGGGATTCCCAGGGGTCAAGGTGGGGTTGAGAGATAAATTCACCAATGCAAACTGTATCTGAGTGCACTCAAGGCTTTCCTGGCAGGTTGTCTCTAGGGGTTGGAAGAGTTGGTTGTTATTTGTTGTTAAAAAAGGATACAATGAAAAGGGGAAGAACAAAGGCAAGGATATTCATCAAGCAAATGGGAGTTACAAAGTAATCAGAAAGGCCAAGATATGTATCAGTGAATGAGGATTACAAGCAGTCAGCATCAGACCAGGAACTTGCTCTTGATTTCAGATAGTGGACTATCAGGGACTTGACAGAGGACAAAGGGACTTATCTCTGAGCTAGATTTTAGCACTAAGCAAAATGTTTTAATTATAATCAGAACTCTCAGCCCTGCAAGTATGCTTATAGCTTCCATACAACCCGATCTTCTGCAAGCCAGGACCTTGAAGGCTTCAGCTTCCAGCATCTGTCTGGTAACCTAGGTCTAGAATGTTTTCAGCCTCCAAGATTTATTGATAAACAAGCTCTCCCTTTTTAGTTCTTTCTGAACTCTAGCTGGTTCAACACAGCACTTCTGGCTCAAAACTCCTCTCCAAGATGACTGATTCACTCTGACATCTCTTCACTTCTCACTGAACTGCTCTGCTTGGAAAACAAACAAACAAACAAACTGCATCTGAACCCCACAAACTGAACTGCCCTTGACAGACTGCCCCGGAACTGTACTGTACTTCAAAACTCTACTGTATTGTCTACACAGACTCCTTGTTTTCTCTGTCTCTCCTGTACCTTCTCTGTCTCTCTCTCTCTCTCTCTCTCTCTCTCTGAATGTGTGTGTGTGTGTGTGCTGCTCTTAAGTAGCTTTTCTTTCCTGTCTCTTTTTGAGAGAGTGTGTACTAAATTCCAGCCAGAGAGATTTAAAGGTGTGTACTAAGGGCGTGTCTGTATTCCAGTGGGATCATGCAGATGTAGGTCTTTGGATGTGATCCCTTTCCAGGACAGCCATGCTGCTGGATTAAAATTCCTTTTACATACTTTAAGAAACAGTGTGTCCTTTGCAATTATCTAAATGTAGATCTTACACATGCTTGTTGATCTAGACAATCATAAAACTTGTCATGAATGATGAGTCAACCTCTTCATCTTCTGGGTTGTTCAGTGTTTGGATTGCTGTATATGATGAAATTGATATCCACTGAAAAGGACATGAACCAGACTCTTTGTTTTACAGTGCTAAGAAAGAAACCCTGGGCCTCAATCATGGTAGGCAAGCACTCTTGTACTAAGATACATTCCTAGAACCACCATGAGTGATCTATAAAAAGAAAACTACTTGAAATAAGAAAAAAAAAAAAGAAAACAAAAACAAAAAACAAAAACCAACCTTTTGTCCTGTGGAACATTTGAGTTGACTGAATAATGGAAAAAGGCATTTAGAGGGATGACAAAAAACTGTAATTTCATAAGATTTTGAAATATATGGTATATGCAATGGTTCAAATTTATAAAATTTTAGGCAGAAAATGTCTTCATTGGACCATATCTATAGTATACAGATTACCCGTATATCAGAAGCTTTAAACCAGATTGCTTTTTCTATATCCTCATTCTTTTGATATATGAGGGTCTGTTTGGTACCCCCAGACCTACCACATGTAATAACAAATAATACTTAGACTTTTTCTCTTCTTCCTAAAATGGTCAGAGTGTATTGATGGCCCTGCTGATAGCTTAATACTTATGGGTAAGATGTCAATGTTACGTATTGTATCCTCAGATGCTTTTTTAAAAATACAATACACTCTGATTGTGTTTTTGTTCAATGGTTGGACAAAGGCATGGAAGATAGACACAAGAATAAATCCTCATTTGCCATCCACAACTCACTGATGAGTGTGAGTTTTGATGCACACATGAAGGAACAGATACGCAAGACAGCTCAAACAGATGATGGTATTGATGACGAGATTGGTTCCAATAACTGTTGTAATTTAAAAGCATAGATAATGAAATCTAACATGATAGATAAATATGCATATTATAGTGGCTTGTTTTGAAGATGAGGTTGAAGTTGACGATATCCATGAATAAATGTTTGTTTCAGTGTGCCTATATACTGGTGCCTAAAACAGCTCGGTAAGGAATCATTACCATAGTTAAAATGTGTATTTGGAAACTCAGTGCTGTAAGAATCTAAACTTAAAATTCACGTATGCTAGGCACTGCCATATCCTAAATACTGAGAAGTGTTCTTGAATGTGTTAGGGATTAATATGAGCTGATTCTTTTTTTTAATTAATTTTTATTTTTTATATTAATTACAGGTAATCTATCACAGCTGTAGTCCCCTCCCTCCTCCCCTCCCAATCCCACCTTTCCTCCCTCATCTCCTCCTATGCCCCTTTCCAAGTCCACGGATAGGGGAAGTCCTCCTCCCCTTCCATCTGACCCTAGCTTACCCGGTCTCATCAGAACTGGCTGATTCTTAAGAGATGTAGGGAGTCAAAACGCAAAAGCCAGCTCTACCTTCAAATGATTTCTAAAGTAAATTGCTTAAAGAAATTACCAGAGATGTAGCACTGGAGAACTTGGAAGCTGTCCTGAGGAAGCCTTTAATTCAAGGAGTGATAGAAGACCTGGACTGAGCATTTTTAGATGAGAAAGGGCTATTTTCAGGCATCATGAGGTTTAGCGACCTTGACAGACAGCAAATGAATCATGTATAAAATCACTTAATTAAAATTTATTGACTTTACAACAGCAACAAGGAAAACTGTGTAATACATTTCGGGGCATAACAAAATTTTAAAATCATAATTGTTCATGTGTGTATTCTATGACCAACTTAACTCACATTTCTGCTTCTTTGCTTGATTTCATTTTGCATTTTTTTAGAAAAGTTCCCACCCTATTGCCTACGTTAACCTTGAACTTGGCAATCTTTTTGCCTCAGCCTCCAATGTAACAGCTCCAGACAGCCTGCATACTGTAGAATGAATAAATAAAATTATTTATATGGGTTTTTTTAGTTTGTCATCTTTGTTAACTTTAGGATAGTATTTGGTTATAAAATATTGTGTAATATTTTTGATATTTTTCCATTAATTAATTTACTTATTCATTTTACTTCCTTATTCCAGTCCCCTTCCCTTCTCTTCCCCTCACATCCTCCCTCCTTCATTTCCCTTCCCCTTTTCCTTGGAGAAGGAGAGGCTACTCATGGGAACCCACCTGCCCTGGTACAAGTCTGAGCAGGACTAGGCTTATTCTTTCCCACTGAGGCCAGGCAAGACAGGCCAGCTTTTGATCCAGAGGCAGGCAGTAGTGTCAGAGGCAGCCCTTACTCCAGTTGTTAGGGATCCACGAGAAGACCAAGCTTCACATCTGCTACATATCTGCAGGGGTCCTAGGTCCAGCCCATACATGCTGTTTGGTTGGTGGTTCAGTCTCTGGGGCCTCCCATGGGCCAGGGTTAGTTGACTCTATAGGTCTTCTTGTGGTTTCCTTGACCCCTCAGGATCCCTCAATCCTCCCTTTTCCACTCTTCTGCAAGATTTCCCAAGATCCACCGAATGTTTGGCTGTGGGACTCTACATCTGTTTCCATCAGCTGCTGGGTGAGGAATCTTAGAGGACAGTTATGCTAGGCTCCTGTCTGCAAGCAAAACAGAGCATCATTTATAGTGTGAGGGCTGGCTCTCGCCTACAGGGTGCGTCTCAAGTTTGGACAGTCATTAGTAGGTCATTTCCTCAATCTCTGCTCCATCTTTATCCCTGCATAGCTTGTATGTAGGATAAATTTTAGGTCGAGGCATTTTAGATGATTTGGTATCCCTATCCCTCCACTGGAAGTCCCACATGGCTTCAGGAGATGACCACTTCAGGCTCTGTGGGGCCATGCAACCAGGGAAGATGGCCTAGAGCAAGAATGAGGACAAGGCATGTCCAAACCTCAAAAATCTTGTCTTGCAACCTGCAGGAGTAGGACCTTTCCATCCCTGTCCCTGGCTTTCATGTCCCAGTGCACAGAGCCTTATAGCCCCACCTCTGGCAGGAGTAAGGTGGTCATGTAGCCTGGCAGGTTACAGACTAACATACTCTCTCCTAATAAGGTCATGTCGAGCAAGCACCTGGAATTCCTCTTCATGCAAATAAGGTATTCCCAGCACCTTGGCCCCAGCCAATAATGTATACCTGGAAAGTATCTACCCACTCCCCGAAATTTTAAATGCCCTTTGTTCTCCAATTAAGTGATCTGGCTCATTGATGCTGTACCTGTGAACGCTGCGTCTCATATACTTACGACCAACTGAGATTCTGCGCTGCACTTACCTGCCCTCAGTAAGCTTCTTCCCTCCAGCCCCACTCCAAGAACTTTTCCACATTTTATTATTAATATATGGAAAGCTAAAGAATATGACAACTCCAATTATAAACATGTGTGAGTATTGAGTATAAAAATAAACAGAAATGTATCTCTGTTAGATGTTATTATTGAAAGAACAAGGTTAGACTATAGAAAACTATTTGGTATTGGAAATTATCTTCTAGATTTATATCCTTTTGCAAAAAAAAAATAAGTCAAACTAAATCATTGATATGGGTCTAAAATTCTGTGCATTACCTTTAGTGTAGCTATAATCATATGCAAAAGAATAGAAAAATGTAGAATAGGAATAACAGTTTAATGAGGGTGTACCTTATACCCCGGTTATCTTTGCTTCTCTCAGAGATCCTTCAAGAAAATAGCACCTCATCCTATTGCTCATTTAATTTTGCTTCCTCCCCATTAAACTAAAAACTCTGTAAAATAAGAACTGCACATGTCTTCATAACTATTAATCCCAGATACTGAATATAATGCCTGCCACGTAATATGTAGTTAAATATAATATTTGCAACTGACAGTAACACTTCAATTTTGCCCAAATTTCTCAAAACTACATCAAGAAAGTGTGCTGCGTAGCTGTTGGTCTGTCATATGATATAATCCCAGAAAGCAGCATACATGTATTGTTCTGGGCAACTTTTTATTTACTTAAAATAATGATGAATATGATGGTGGTAAACTTTATAATTCTTCAATGCATTGATAATCAACTAACTGGTAAGATCAAAGTGCAGACATTCATGATCTGTCCCTAGAGAATCCCTTTCTGACTGCTGATAATACCAACTCCCTAATAAGAATTTCCGTATTAAATAGATTTCTTTCATTTGCTATCATCTTGGCTGTGTATTATCCTTATTGTATTCAATAATTTCATTCTTTTTTAAATTACATTTTTATTTTTTTAATATTAATCACAGTTTATTAACTTTGTGACCCAGCTGTAGCCCACTCCCTCATTCCCTCCCAATCCTACTCTCCCTCCCTCATCTCCTCCCTGCCCCTTTCCAAGTCCACTGATGGGGAGGTCCTCTTCCCATCTGACCCAAGCTTATCAGGTATCTTCAGGACTGGCTGCAAAGTCCTCCTCTGTGACCTAACAAGGCTGCTCCTCCCTCAGGGAGTTTAAAGATTAAAGAGCCAGCCACTGATTTTCTGTGAGAAATTGTCCCTGTTCCCCTTACTAGGGAAGCCACTTGGATACTGAACTACCATGGGATACATCTGAGCAGGGTTTCTAGGTTATATCCATACATGGTCCTTGGTTGGAGATGCAGTCTCATAAAAGACCCCTGCACCCAGGTATATTTGGTCCCTGTGGAGCTCCTGTCCCCTCCAGGTCACACTAACTCCCTCTTTCATATGATTCCCTGCACTCTGCCCAAGGTTAGGTTATGAGTCTCAACATCTGCTTTGATACACTGCTAGGTAGAGTCTTTCAGAGGCTCTCTCTGGTAGGCTTCTGTCCTGTTACTTGTTTTCTCCTACACCCAATGTCCATCCCATTTGTCTTTCTAAGTGAGGATTGATCATCTTACCCTGGGTCCTCTTTCTTGTTTATACACAATGTAATACTACTCAGCAATTAAAAACAAAGTCATCATGAAATATGCAGGAAAATGGTGGGATCTAGAAAAGATCATCCTGAGTGGGGTATTCCAGGAAAAAGACACACATGGTTTATATTCGCTTATAAGTGGGTACTAGACCCATGAAATAGAATAAACATACTGAAATCTGTACATCTCAAGAAGATAAAAAAATTTCATCCTTATTTATTTGTCCATTTCTAGTTTTCTTCTTTGGCAAAAGGCTCACTGGGTGAGTAATGATGCTGCTTAATTATCCAGAGTTCTTGAGTTACTTGATCTGGACGTGGACTCTTAACATTACAGTGTTTTCAGTGATAATATTTTCCTGAATTCTGAGTTAGATTTTTACAACTCAATAATGGATGACAGGCCTTGTACATCTGTATGTGTCAAATCTTTGTGTTCTGGAAGTTTTTCTTTCAACACAGAGAAGAAGGGTGTCAAAAATCTTAGAACAACCTTTTATTTAAAATTTCTTATTCTTATTCTGTATATTGAAGCAATTTGCATATCTGTGTATATTTCTAGATGTTTTCTATACCAATTTATTTTGGAAAAAATATTGTTTTTATTTGTCAAGGGAGCATGTAAAAGAAGTTCACATGTGTAACATCTTTTTAAAAAGGGACTACCAAAACCCAGAAATTTCTTCCTCTACTAATATATTAAAAAATAATTATAACAATGGTATATGCTGTCTCCAGGAAACACATTACCAATATGTAATGTAATCGTTGTATTCTTTCTTCATACCCCATGTCTCATCTGATGTAATGTAAGGAGAAGAAATAATATAAAAAACGGGGAAAAGAGACATCTTGAGTTTTTATATCAAATAGAATACTTTGTGGTAAATGTTTTATTATAAGTATTAGACAGGCCAAATTGGATTGCATTTAGTTCAAGACATTCTCTGCCTCAAGCTTAAACTAAAGCCATGAAAGA